CCTGTCTTAGTAACCACTCTAGGTTGAGGCATAACTGTAAACAGATAGTCCTTACTAATCTTAATGCAACTATTTATCTTATTCAGATTTCTTCCACGGGTACATATCATTATGTGTTGGTATTTCTGAAGTGCAAAGCACATAAATGCACCTATTTGTCAGTGAGGAGATATGATGGGGTGTGTTCCTCACAATCACTTTGAAGGGGTTAGTGTATGCCAGAGGGACACATTAACTTATTAGGCTGCTAGCTCAGGAACAGTTCAGCTAAGAGGTAAGCCCTAATTAAGGGAAGCTCACCTGTGCAGGAAAAGAGGGGGCTTCTATGAAGCCAGAGTACTGATAACAGAAAGGAGGCCAGAGGGAAGAAATCTGCAGTCATTTCCCAGAGGAAAGAAGATGTTGGTCAGGCTATGGAATCTAGTCTGCATTTACTCCCTGGGAGGAGGGAAGTTGGGCTGGCAAACCCAGAGAAAAGGGGAACCAAAAGGTTTAGGACTTGGGGAAAAAGCAATGAGCTTTAGGATGGTGCAGCTGGATGCTGCTGATTAGAGGGACCCTGACATGGCACTGAGAGTAGAGGGTGAGCCCAAGCCCAGGTTCCCCTGTTAATCACTGGGGAAGTGGCGCCATCAGGGAAGTGGCCATCGGCAAGGAAAGACTTCGATACCATGAGAAGGGGAGTATAGTGGCCTAGCCAGAGGACCAACCTAAGATGACAGAGCACACTGAGTCACAGAGATACTAAGAGACGGCTGGGCTTGCAGCAAGAAGCAGAAGGGGCACTGGACTTCAAAAGAGAAGATCCCCCAAGTTTCAAGGACTAGACAACCCTAGTGGTGAGTGGACCCCGTGGCTGGTCACCCTAGTTGTACAAAAACAACACACAGACTATCCCTGCCTCCCCTGTGGCATTCCTCAATTATATGGATTTTCAACTATGTAGCTGTAAAAGTACACACTAGAGATTAAAATACTAAGCTCATTTTCTATTTTCAAAATTGGTGTAAACTAAGTATGAACAGTAACTCTAACATTAAGATTTCAATTTTAGACAGGAAATGCAGGATCTCTTATTAATACAGGTTGAATCTCTGTAGTCCAGCACCATCAGGACCTCACCGATTTGGCAAATAAAAGAATTTGCCAAACAATGGGAGGTCAATATTGTTTAGAAGCATTTAAAACACTTCTATTGCTTAGTGGGCTCTTAGAAAACATTTAAGAGTAAATTAGAGTGAAATAACAGCACAGACCATTTAGAGCCAGCACTCATGGCTGTAAACAAAGTTTATGGGACTGTGGGAAACTGTGTCCCACCCAAGATAAGTGGACATCCAGCTAACTAAAATCATGCTGCATCACGGATGTTGCCAGACCAGAGAGTGATAGACTAGAAAGGTTCAACCTGTATTAAATTGTCTATGTCGCACATACAGAATTGTTCTGGATTGCTAATTATACTGTTAAATGTCATTTGCCTATGGAGTGAGCCCAATCTTGTCCTGAAATATTAATGCACAACACTCACTGATTTCAATGGATGTTGCATAGTTACAGAAAGATAGGTCTGTGCCACCTGTATACAAATAGGTGAGGATGAAACTTGCTTTTCCATTTCCTGACTTCTGAGTGTTTAAAATCATATACTTGAAGGTTTTAATAGTGTGGGTTTTCATGAATAACATGAAATCCTGGCTTTATAGGAGCAAATGGCAAAACTTTCATTGACTTCAACAAGGCCAAAACTTCATTTTTTAAAAGTATATGCACAAATATAAGAAGGGGTGATGGTAGCGACCCCTACACTTAGGTTGCCACTTTCAATTAAGACTGAAAGGGAAGTCACCAGACTGATAATGCAGTCGAAGCAAATGATCCCTTTCAATTAAAAAAAAGACTCTGAGGATCTTTTTTTTTTTTTTTTTTTTTTTTTTGAGAAGCATGAATACCCATAATATTTGCAGCAGGCCTTTGGTATTCAGTGGGGAGAAACTCCTCAAGCTACAGCTGACTTTTCTTCGTAGCATTTAAATTCCAAAGTGTTCCCCATTTCTTCTCTCACACTTGGGGTTCCACAGGACAATTCTAGCAGACTGGCAAAGTTGCTGAACACTTTAAATAGTATAGGCCATGCTTCAGCCACAACAGCAGACACCGAACCAGGATGACATGTGGCACTAAAAACATGGGGACTCCCTGGCAGCACTTTGTCCCAGGCACCACAAAGTCAGGGGCTCCCTTATAGGTTTGGCCAGGAAAAGATAAATCTAATTTGATCACTCCTTGATGGAAGACTCCTTGGCCACTATTAGGCTATCTATAAGCATAGGATGCAACTTGGCTAAAATAGGGTGGTTTCTCCACAAATCCTCTGAGATGGTTGTGACCTGTGACCTTGTATCAATTAGGGTCTTGCACAGGATACCATTCACTTCCTCAGTTCCCTCATTCAAGGGTCCCATCAGGCTGGAATGCCAGTTTGTGGCTGGCAGAGTATGCTGGTAAGTTGTGCACACTGATGCTACTGGGGGAAGACGTCTCCCCAGCTCTACAGCTTTCACCTGTGCCTCAGTGTTAGGCGTAAGCAGTTTAAATCAGGAGCCTCACTTTGTCCTGACACCATGAGAAGAGGCTGAGGGGGTTGCCAGCAGCCACATGCTATGTGGCCTTCTTGTTCACAACAGTGGCATATGAAACAACCTCTGGGACTACAGACACAAACATAAGGGGTACTTCGACCACTTTCTCATCCAGAACTTTGGGGTATTGCCACACTGCTGCACCTTGCTGCAGCACCTGTGACTCCAGTTGTCCTATTCTCACATGGCTCCGTTTCTAGAGGGCAGTCATTTCTTGGACTAGCTCAGTGAGACCTTTCTCTGCCTCCAGCATCGCATGATCTGGGGTACTGCTGGGTAGAAGCACCTTAAGAGCAGACTGCACAGCATCATCTGACAAGTCAGCTTGTTGCAGACTGGCCTCTGGGCTGGCCTCTCCTTTCTAACCTCTAGGTTTTCCTCTCCAAGGCTAGCTGACACAGTTCTTCTTGCCACTGTCAGAATGTCACGTAGTGAGGCTGCACAGGTGACAACCTGTGCCACGTGTCTCGATCCTGGACAAGCCCAAGCCGACACAACGTGGTCATTGGCAGTTGGGACTTTGACCTTAGGGGATAACATCATTAGCCTCTACCACATGAGCTAAACGCTAACTGGCTCTTAGCTAAGGCTGTAGAGCAGAATTCACTCTCCCTTGTCAGTCTCGGTGCCTCTGGGTCACATATGTTTCTGCATATATACACATATTTTGTCTCCATATTAAAAAAAACCAACCACATAATACAGGGTTTGTTCACCCCGCCTTCTTCTCTTCTTTGACTTCAAACAAAGCTCTGGGACACATTTTGTGCACAGGAACACAAGTAACTCCCAGTAACTCCCACTGAAGTCAGTGGGACTGCTTGCAATTATTGAAGGCAGAACCTGACCTTTTTACAGGAGAGTTATTGCTATTTTCGTTTATCTTGAATTTCAAAAGATAATTTCCAATTTGCTGAACATGTTGGTCATACCACCACCACAGAGTGTTTAAAGCCCTGTGTAATTGCAGCATCTCAAAAACACTCTGATGTGATGCACTTGGCATGGAAAGATAGAAAGATGCTTCCTTTCGACCCTCTCCCAACGAACATAGAAGAAAGTGTCTTTTGCCCTTCCTGATGGGAAAAAACCCCATCAGTGATGGAGAGGGAAAAGACTGAGATGTATCCAGGAAAACAGGCAGCCCCAGAGCCAATAAGTGCCTCGTTTGGGCTGCTGATGCCATCCACCTTGATGGAGACCCGCAATATCAGTGTGAAATTCCATAAATTCTGATGATATTTTCCCGGTTCCCAGTGACTTATTAACAGTTAATCCATAAACTTTGGAAGTCAGATCTTAAGGACCATGATAACACTGCTGCCAAGGAGGGGGCTTCAGGCAAAACTCATACCACATGAAACTCACTCTCTCACTTACCTGTGTCCTGAATCATCCAAAACCTACTAAAATGAGGCTTCAAGTCTCACACTCTCTCAGGTTTGCTTATGACTTCCTATTTCACAGGTATAGGGAGCTAATACGTAGTTTATTTAAAATTGAAGGAGATGAGAAAGTCTGGGTGCAACTGCATTTGTAAGCCACACTGAGACATGGTGCAGTGACTCAAGATTTCTAAGGCCTGCAGACCACAGTTGAGATAATGTCAGAAGAGACGATAAATAGACATGTTTCATTCTCGCTAGACTGATGCAATTAATTAAATCAGTGTGAACAGCACTGACCTGCCCATGGCCAACTCCCATACAGGAGAATACTATCTTGACCCAAACATGTTCTGTTAATAGAGGGATTACTACAGCAATAACACAGCTATCACCATCATGCTACAGGGATGTGCTGAATGGTTAGGTGCGCTATGTATTGTAGTCTCCCTAGATTTTTGTTATTGGAATTTAAAATCTAATTATGATCCTGGGCCTCCAATGCACTAATTCATTCTACCGTTGCCCTGATACTGAGCCACTTTGGCCGATCTAGCAAAAAGCTATTATATATGGTCATGACAATTTAGCTAAATTCTACAGAGCACTTCCTCACTTTGCCCCACAATTAAAGCTGGGGTGCCAAAATGAAATTATGGAATTTTTAGGAGGTCTACATTTTCCTTCAATTGTGAAATGCTTGGCCAAACACAAAGACATAGAAGTGTTCTGAACACAAGAGCAAAGATCTCTTTTATTCTTCTTAAAGATAAGCCATTACCCAGCACACACATTCTGAAAGGTGGAGAGCTGCTGCATTCCAGTTGTGTAACAGGCACAACAAGAATTGTAGCCAAGCCCTTCTCCCCATATGTCTGGCTAGGTGCAACGAACACTTATGAGGAAGGCAATATTGGTGACACCCATGCTAGATCCTTGCTCAGTGTCAAAAATCAGTTCCTTGTTTCCTTACCCTCTGTTTTCGCAGACTTCCTGGACTGGTAGGAGATGGACTTGGAGACTTCCCAGAGCGGGGAGTAGAAAGCTGGCTACCAGGGGTTCCATTAACTAGAAGGACAATAAATAAATAAATAAATAAATAAATAAAGTAAGTAAGTAAACAAACAAACAAACAGGATGATTAAATAAAAGTTTGACTCATGGTACCTGTAGAGTAAAAGCAGAGGAAAATGATTAATAATCATGTCTTAATTCTATTTATGTTTTCTTAAGGGAACCATTCACTCTTTAAGATTTGTAAATGTTAAATAACGTAGTGCAGAAAGAAATTGCTTTTCTGCACTGTGATTCTGACCCTGCCAATTTATACAGTGCTTAAACAAATATGCAGCCACTCTAAAATGATTGTTTAAGTCAATGGTGATGAACTTTCTCTTTTTTTTTTAATTCTATAGTGCCTATGCATGCCTATCATGGAAAGTCATAATGCTTTGTTGCCTTAACAAATATTACCTATATTTAAACCCTAATTATGCCTGTCAGTGCTACCAACTAGGAATAAAAAGCAACCCTGCTTGCAAGAACAAATCACTGAAGCTTGCTGTTAATCCTTCACATATTTGAAGACATTTTTGCATTACTATCTGACCTAAACATCACCTCAGAACTAACTCTGATGGACTTCAGACATATAATTGAACTGGCCATAAAATCTCAACTATACATTATACCAAACCATCACTTACTTAAATAGTAAGCTCCTTCAGAATATTTCAGTGTATTTAATTTTAAGAAGCATTTTCAGCCTTTGTAAGATATGCTCTGTTATATTCACAAATAGCTAATACCCAAAGAGTATCCTAATGTACTACAAAGTGATCACATATAGGATGTCAATAATATTTTTAAAGAAATAAATGCTTTTATGTATCTCTTTACACACACAGCCATATTAACAAATCCATATTATCAATATCAGAAAAAAATCAGCAACTAGACATCTGAATTCTCAATCTTGTGTGAATATTTACATACTAAGGTATCAATAAGGCATTTAACTTACCTTCTATGAGCTCTAACATGGACACAGTCTTACTGTTTAACCTGTCAACAGCAAGCACAACAATGCTAGCCCTGTACTAAGACAAGCTGTAGCAGAAATGAGAAGGGGTGGGATTAGTTAAGGATAGCTCAGGCTGCTCACAGAGTGAGCTGAATGAGATGCAGGACTCATAAGCAGAAGCTTTTTCTGCGTAAGGCTGACGTCTTCCGAGCAGCAGTGGGAGGTGCAGGTGGTGTCTTAGGGCTACATCAAAGGTGTCAATTAAACATTAAGCCGCTGCTTCAGAATGCTGAGCAACTACAACCCCCACTCTGATTCCATGAAGCCCAGAAAACCTAAGCAATTTTATAGGCTGTGCACTGAATCATAATGAGGAGCCTTTGGGGGCAATATAGCAAATGACTCATCTGAAAATCAAAATGACAATAACTCTTGTATATATCCTTGGCTGACTGGCAGTCTAGCAACTGATAAATCCTTCAGAGAATGCAGTGGGTATTTTAATAGATTTTTCTTAATGTAGCAAATATCTCAGTGGTAAATAGTAGGCCCACATACATTTATCTTCGGATACTGCTCTAGAGAGCATTATAAAACAGGCTATAAAGCATCAGAACTAAAGAGCACCATACTGCTGCATCTCAGTATCTGCCTTTTGCAATGCATTTGTTAAGGTAAACGTGTAAAATACCTTTGTGGTATCCACAGGAATGATGAGAAAAGGTTAATTTGCATGTAAATAGGTTGCTTTTGCAGACACATTTTTCACTCAGTTTGACTTAAGGTTTAGTTCATAGCAAGGGTAATGGGTTATATGTATCAGCACAGTGATGGGGAAGCATGTAGCACATTCACATATTTATGGAAATTCATACAGTATCTTGAGGAAGGAATCAATGTGATTTCTGTGACAAACTAGCTCTATTAACATGTAGGTGCTGCATGAATATATGGTGTTTAAGTAGGGAGAAACAAGCGAGAGAGATTAAAAAGAAGAAGTTTGAGTCTAATCTTCAAATATGTTTGTTCTTTTTAAAATCAAGGCTAAACTATTGCAACATTGTCTATGAGAGTATAAATGTGAAAGCCATATAAAAGCATAAGCTACAGTTATGCAGAAAACCTTCTAAACTGATGAGACAGTCTTATACCTGGCTGTTGTCAGGGTGAAATTCAAGGTTCTGACTACTATTTAAGAAATGCTAAATGATTTAGATCAGTGATGGGCAACCAAAGCTAGTAAGTGGGCTGTATGAGTGGCCCAACTTCATCTCAATGGGCCACATGATTGAAATTGGGCATGCACATTAACCCCCAATAATAATATTAAATACTTTACACTTGATTCTCCTTCTTACCTTTCCAACACAAAGCAGTCCATTATTGGGGCAAATTAAATTGCCAGCAAAAGTAGTGGCTTTAAATGTGTGTGTCTGCTCATTTTGCCACAGGCTGCTCCATCCTCCCCTCTGCTCCAACCCCTGCCCCAACTCCACCCTGTCCCTCAAACCCTCACCCAGCCTCTTCCCCCAAATACACCCTGTCCCTTCTCTTCCCCCTCCCTCCCAACATTTTCAGAACACTGTGAATTGGCTGATTCATGCCCAGTCTCTGCTCCTCCCTATCTCTCTGGGTGTGTCTAGTCTACATCCCAGGGATGTAAACTAGACACTTCAAAATTGCAAATAAAGCCGGGATTTAAATGTCTGCACTTCATTTGCATAATGGCAGCCGTTGATTTTTTTCAAGATGGGGCTTTTCAATAGAAAAATAGCTGTTTAGATGGGGATCTTTCAAAAATAAAACCCTTTTTCGAAAGATCCTGTAAACCTCACTTTTGAGGCTGCCACTGATCTCTGCCCTATCCAGCTTCCTTGAGCCCCTGCACTGCACTAAATAGGCAGCTGTATGGCAGTGCAGCAATGCAACTTACGGGGAATTTAGGTCCAGTCTGATCTTGTGAATAACCCATGTCAGGTGGGTTAACTGGACACCTATCATTGTGAATGCCAGTGAAAATGGGGTTGGTTTAGATGCTAAAAAAGGGAAAGCACACGTTAAAAACCACTTAGACAAGTTAGATGTCTTCAAATCACCGGGGCCTGATGAATTGTATCCTAGAATACTCAAGAAGTTGACTGAGGAGATATTTGAGCCACTTATCTTTGAAAAGTGGTGGAATATGTGGCTTAACCACTGCAATAAATTAGGTAGGGAGGACGTGGAATCTCCATCATTAGAGATTTTTTAAGAGCAGGCCAGACAGACACCTGACAGGGATGGTCTTGGTCCTGCCATGAATGAAGGGGACTGGACTTGATGATCCTTTAAGCTTCCTTCCAGTTATTCGATTCTATAATTGGCAATCCTAAGGTGTATAGTCATCAAGAGTAGGCCTTATATCAGAAGTGATCAAGTCTCTTCCAGTCTCTGTCATTCAGCATGTTTTAGGGGTGTTGTTACCTGCTTCACTTGTTAACTGCATCTATCACTAAGGAATTTGGTGGTGTGGGGTGTGAGAAGAAGAATTCTGTTCCCTTTGCTAGCACATAGTGTTTTTTAGTCAGACCTCTTGCACATGGTCAGGATTGTTGTTTGGGTCTGCCAAATTGACTTAACTGGTTCTGTAATTGCTACATTCATGATAGAGTGATTTTGGAAGAAGTCGATATCTGTAAGATGTCTAGTAGTTTATATTGTGCCTCTGGGACTTCTTCCAGTGAGATGTTCAATGAGCTCATGACTCTCTTATAGAGGTCTTAAAATTCTTTCAAATCATCCCCTATTTTGGGAAGTAGGGGCATGTTAGTGTCGTCAGGGGAAGATGATGATGAAAAGTGAACTGCACGTCCCATCTCCTGGTCAGAGGTTTTCTCCTCCTCTCTGGCCACCTCTTCTGGAGGCTCACATGGTCCTGGTACGGAAGGCCAGGATGAATAATGTGAGCTCATTCTGGAGAGGAGGACGAGGGACTGGGATATTTATGATGTTGTAGGGGCAATGCTGTCCATATACTCCAATAAGACCACTATGGTGGAAGATGCAATGGTGGTATCAATGGATGCCTGTTCCACTGTTGATCTTTGTGCCCAGTGTAATATGCCCTGTGCAGTGGTCTGATTGACACCTGGATGGGGGAAGAATGGTGTGAAGAGTATAATTACCCTTTGTCCTCATTCTCCTCGTCACTGGAGAGTGGGGGATCAGATTGAGGTGAAGTGACTTAGTACTGACCATGCCCAAGGACATTGGTGGTGAGAAGGGAAGGTTCTGGCATTGAGTGGTGTAGAGCCATGTGGTGCTGAGTGTCTATTCGGCTCCGCCTTTTGCATTGGTTTTGGTTTTCCCTTTTACTGCTATCAGAGATAGCTCAATTGGGGTCTTTTGCTCTCATGGTACTGGAGGGTCCCACTGCAGTCAGCTCAGTAAGATTTTGACTGTTTGGAGAAAGCTATTTCTTGGATGATTCTGGGGAAGTTGTAGCCTGGTTTTCTGCCATCTTCTTGGCAGTATGGACTTTAGTCTGAGCTAGGAAGAGCCTCTGTCAGAGGCTGCAGCGGATTTATGCAGGGTGGGGGTCCATGCTTCAGATTCAAATGCTGGCTGTAGAGACTTCTTTATCAGGAAGCATTTAAGTTGTAAGTCTCTTGCCTTTCTAGTCCAGAATTTCAGGTAGTGGCCCTGCAAGCATGCCTGAGGTCTGTGTGTCTCACTGAGGTAATGAACACACTGGGAGTGCCAATCTGGTACAGGTAATGAAAATCTACAGGTGAGGCAGCTTTTGAAACCAGGCTTTTCTGCCCTCCCTCTAGGGGAAAATTAAGATTCTGTCAGACCAGAAATTCAGGTTTCTGCTGTTAAGGAAAAATATTTTTGGAGGGAAGAGAAATCAAACTGGGAGAAAAGAACTAACCATACTTAGCTTTTCTTAAGTCTAACTAAAGAAAACGATGCTAATAAGATTAGCCATAGAAGCACTGCTAGATGCTCTGACTCAAGCCAAAGGTGGTAGAGAAGGAACTGAGAGGGGTTAGATTGCATAGTG